CAAAAGACTCGCAGCGATGCAACCCTGCAAGTAAACTCCGAAATAAAACCTGCTAGTGAACATGATAACCATCTTCACCAACATGCACATGCGCCGCTGAAAGCCCATACGCCTTTAAGTCAGGCTTAAGATTTGAGCATTGCAGTCCAAATACAGTGCACGTGAACTTTCTTCAAACTCAGCTGGCAGAAAGCGCAGACTGTCATTACACCGGTTGCTGTATTCCCAGTCATTGCGCTCTGAGTCTCCTGCGCTGCAGCTCTTTTCTGTGCCCGCAAATGTTGGTCTGACTGTGCTGTTCGCTCGCGCTAGCACAGGGCCTTTTGGAGCTCCTGCGAAAAACTTTGCCAGAGATCTGGCACGGCGACGGCTTGAGTGGAGTACGGCTTGTTGGCAAACTGTATCTTGATACCACCTCTGCTGCGCAGGCGGAGAGTGCCTGTATGGCAAGGGCGTATGTAGAGACCGACCACCTTCCTGATGCCATCCCGGAGAGGTGTCTCTAGAATTTCGCGGAGGTGGCTGGCCACTATCTCGCCGTGTTGTCTTGCGATGGTTGGCTGAAGCAAATATAGGGTATCTCCGTGCCACCCAAAGCCATCCACTGACTTCATCCTGTCTTCTTCGGGTGGGTTGCGGTAGAGGACACCGCGCTTGACATCCACTTTTCGGCTGGTGAACGCTTCTACCCTCTCAAAGCGCAAACTCCACTTCCCACTGCTCGCATCAGGACTCAGTACAACACCCTGAGTTCCTACCAACTCATTCAAAACTCTGTGTTGAAAGTAGTATCGCCCCAGTTCTGGAATGCATCGCAGAAGATTCGACAATTGCTCTCCGCTCTGCCCCATGCGATTGAAAAGCTGCGTCTGGACAAACTCAGACGCAAAGCCAACCCTCCTTCCTTCCAGGATAAAACTCTCTCCTTGTCCTTGGACCCCTTCATCATTGTCCTTCTTGTGGAAGCACGCGAACGACAAGGCCGTGTCTTCTTTCAAAACTTCGCTGGACTGGAGTACCAACATTGTGTGAGCATCTTTGGCAGTCAGGCGCTGGCCTCCCTCATTCACGACGCCCATTAAAGCGTTGCAAAAGGTCTGAGTCAGCCTTGTCAGCCCTTTCTCGTCGTAATTCAGAATCAAACGTGGGATGCCAAAACCGCACAGCTTGGCCCTTCCCTCAATAGCTTCGTCACTCATCTTGCTCATTTTGCACAGCGCTTTTGTTTGACTTGCTCCCCACACGGGCAAGTAGAGCTCCTCAAAAGGTCTTTTCTGGAACTCTTTCAGTGCACTGCCAAATCCAGGGGTTGCCACGACCAGCATGTTATCGACCCGAAAGTAGGTGTTTGCCTGCTGATTGTTCACTATTGCCCGTCCTTCCTTGACCGTGCCGTCAGGCGCTACGTCGAACAAGCCCAAAGACTTTGGCAGCATCCCCAAGTGATCACCAGTTTCATGGTTCCAGTATGTGCCATCCCTTTGAATGGACACCAGCCTCGAAACATCTCCAAGCACGACCACTTCGTAGTCCAGCTCCTCATGGAAGAACTTCCAAAGGAGATAGTGGACCAACGTCGTCTTGCCGCTGCCCGGCGTGCCACTCAAAACCAAGCGCATGCCTTTCTTCTCGCCCCGTTGCTGGATATGCTCGCAAAGCTTGGTGTAGCATTGTCTCTCGACGATCGCTGAGAGCGTCCAGGGTAGTTCGTCTGGCGGCACACGGGAAGCGGTGTTGCGTAAGACCTGCAGTCCTTCTTGAGGTTCCCGCGTAGCCTGCTTTAGCCACTCGATGAAGGGAAGCTTCATCACTGCCTGCCATCAAAGGTTTGTGGAAACCGCTCAAGGCACCAAACTTTGGACGGCTAACTTTGCAACCAGCTGTTGAAACCACTCTGACAACTTTAAGGACTTCGAGCAGGTTCTGACCACTTTAAGGACTTCGAACGGGTCATAAGAAAGCAGTTGAAGGCGAGGGCCCCCCGATCCAGATTGCCACGGCCGAGCTACTCAACGCAGGGCACAGCTGAATTCTTGATGTCTTTCAGTCAAAACACGAAATTAACCCACGACAAAGTGCCTCGGCGCTGGCATGCAAGCTCGCAGCTTAAGCTCCAGACATCAACTACGAGCATTAAACCCCTAAGCAGCTCTGACTTGCAGGAAGAAGCACCAGTTGACAGCAGCGTTCCAAGCAAAAGACAAAAATTGTCGAAGCTTTGGGTTGGGAAGACGCGGATACGTTTTGAGCATGGATGCAGGGGTCTCTGTGCATTTTTTTACCCCTCAAACACTTGCATAGGTGCCCCAAAGCTCACAAGAAAGAACATGACCTTGGACAAGCTGCAAGTGAAGCACAAACCAAACCAAGCTGGGCCTGGGCTGCGGGGCCCACGCCCTGAACCCGGATTGCGCTCGTCGAGAGGCTGCCTGAATCAAGCGGCACCTCACCGTCCAGGCGCAGCTCGGTGTCGCCGGCCTCGAAGAGCTTGATGTTAGCGCGCTGGCGGTCACTCATATCGGGAGTGGCCAGGCGGCGCAGGTCATCGCCAATGGCATTCGCGTCCAGAAAGACAGAGTAAGGATTGCCCTCCACGCCCTCTTGCAGCCAAATGCGGCGCTGGCGGCGGGCTCCCGCTTGGACAGCAGCTTCCGGGTCCGCATCCTGCAGCAGCTGAACTCTTCCTGAATGCTGGCGTTGCAACTCCAAGCCGTCCTTGACTGAGGCTGCTTTGGCCTGGAGCCAGGCAAAACTCAAAACAACAACAGCACAAACCCCCTCAAAGCACTTCGGGCTTCTTGCTGACGGCGACATCTTTGTTGCCCGCAGCAGGCTCCTTCGGGTAAACCAGCACACGCTCTGTAAGTGCAACATTCCAACATGGTCGCACACGACTCCTCATCCTGCGACGCACAAAAAGCACAAAAGAAACACAAACCCAATCCAAAGTCGGAGGCCTCCAACAATGCATCCTGCACGCATGACACGATCGCAAGCACGCATCTTTCGACTCACAGCCAACCACGCCTCTCGTCTCCGTTTGGCAGCTTTCGGCCGCGGCTCCTGTGCAAGGAGACGACTCCACAAAAAATCCCAAGAAAGTTTGAGTGACATGGTCCTGTGGCTTGTCATTGAAGTCTCTGTTGCTGTAGTTTGCCATTTGTGAAACTTTTCTATCAAAAGTTTGAACCGAAGCGCTGCAGCCAGGTCACCATCAAGGAAGACTCAACTGCGTGTGAAGGCACACACGAGCAAGAACTGCCAGGCCCGCCTTCACACTCTGGACAAAGCTGGGGACGTGGATCGCAGCCAACAGCGTTTCTGGTCACAAGACCTGCTTGCCACCGCAAAAGCCAGATGTGTTTCGGACGAAAGAGCTGCAGTGACATGCCACAAAATCAAACGAACCATGAGACTTCCTATCTGCTGAATTATTTTTCCTGTTTTCCCTCCACTCCGTACCAGCAGACTCTGCCCTACCTGCGCGCGAACCCAACTCTTACCGCACCACTGCCAGCACTACGGTCACTCCGGCCTACCCAGGAAAAACGTGGCTTCTCTCAAGAGGACCTAGCCCGGCAACGATGACGAGTATCGGCAAGAAGCATCTGATTACAGAGGACAGGGAAGGGGCTTTCTACTTCACTATTTGTACATGCACTCACTCCTACTGCAGCCGCCTACCCTTCGTCCGGGCTCTCACGACTGCACAACACGCTGCTAGTTCCGCTCCAGCTTGGTGAGCCATTGGCCTGACGGGGAGGTTCAAGTTGGAGAGGTTCCTACCTGCTAGCTACTCCCACCTGCACATGCAGAATAACACTCAGCTGGCTTAACTTCCCTACCTATGCGCGAACGATCTGGTCTGCCCTAGCTCTACTAGCGCTCCAAGCTCCGCACTCGCCTTGTTCACCCTAAACAGCGAAGTTGGCCTACAATTGGCCGAAATTTGGCCACAGTTGGACAAATGGCCCACATAGCAACAGTGAGTCCACAATTGGCACAATTGGGCCCACAAATGAGCCTACAAATGGCCCACAGTTGGCCCACAACAATTGGCCTACAATTGGCTCACACTTGGCCTGCAACTGACACAAGTGGTCCACATTCCTCGCAATTGGACAAGTGACCTACAATCGGTCCACAATTAGCCCACAATTGCAATCAGCCCACGATGGACCCGCGAGTGATGGAAACATCTTCATCTAAGTTCGTAAATACGCTTGATGTGTTGAAGCTGCTGCTTCCATGAGTTTTTGCTGTAACGCGGTTTGCAAGACGCGTGCAGGGGCTGGATCTAAGCTGGGACAGTATGGGGATGGCTGAGTTTGGGCTTGCTGGAGAGGCTTGAGCTGGCTGGAGAGGATTGGCGGGCCTGGAAGAAGGGTTGATTGGAAGCTGGTGCTTGCCGGGCAATCGCCGCACCACTGGGCCACTGCCGATCCATGCCCGGCCATCGCAGAGGCGGAGCAGCGAAGCCAGTCGAGAGGGCAAGGCAGAGGGACTGTCCTATATGAACTACTTGCTGTTGTTCATTGGTTGCTTGGTTGCCGCCGTTGGGTCTTCTGCTCCCTTCTGGGTTGACTATATGCGGATGGCCTCCCTTCTAGGTTGACTGCGCGCGGATGGCCGATGGAAGCTGTGGTCTGTGAAAAATTTAAAAACAATCCCCTCCCCGGGTCATAAATGCCGTGAGTTGCGTCAAGCTATGATATGATCACCTCTCTTGTCATATTTTTTTTGGGGCTTAGGGCTTAGCCCAGGA